TGTGTGTGTGTGTGTGTGTGTGTGTGTGTGTGTGTGTGTGTGTGTGTGTGTGTGTATGGAATATGGAGGCTTTTCCTCTTTGATCTCTGGGATATGCTGGGTCAAAGAGTATGCCACAGTCAACATGTAACTTTCTTTTTACTATTCAATTTTATTTTCAGTTTCAAATTTTTTCTCATTACCCACACCTTCATTATACATACATTGAGAGAGCAAGAAAACAAAAACCCAGTACAAATGACCCATAACTTTTGTTTCTTTTGAGGGGATTGGGGTGATGCACCTTGCCCAGAGCCAATAATAAGTGTCTGAGTCAAATTTGAACTCAGGTCCTCTTGACTACCAGGCCAATGCTCTATCCATTATACCACCTAATTGCCCCTGACCTATAACTTTCAAAGCTGTCTTGCTTGTCTGTGATCCCTTCTCACCTTCTATCTCTTCTCTTCTCATTTAAGTTAGTGGAAAAAGAGATCTCTAAGCCAACATTGGCAAGAACCTGGGGTTACCTCTTTGTACTCCCAATGGATAGTGAAGTGCCTGGCACATAGTAGGCCCTTAATAAATGTTTATTGATTGACTAGACCTAGAGTCAGGACACATAGGTTTGGCTTCTGACTGCCACTGTGTGAGGGGCACGTTCTACTTTTGAGACCTTAGTTTCCTCATTTGTAAAATAAAAACAATTCTCCCTGGACTTCCTAGCCTCAGGACTGTGTGGAAAGTACTGTGTAGACCTTTTAGAGCTACAGACTTGTGGGATATGAGTAATTGTGGACTCCTAAGGGCACCATGGGACCCACCCACTTGCTTCTCAAATCGAAAAAGATTCACTTTTTTTAAAAAATATATTTTATTTTCCCCCAATTACATGTTAAAATAATTTTTCAACATTTGGTTTTTTTTTTTTAGTTTTGAGTTCCAAATTTTATCCCTCTCTCCTTCCCTTACCCTCTCCCCACGAGGAGGGTAAGCAATCAGATATAGGTTATACATGTTCAATCATGTAAAACATTTCTACATTAGCCATTTTGTACACAAAGACTCAAAAGAAAAAGAATGAAGGATGGAAAGAAAGTGAAAAACAGCATGCTTCAGTCTGTGTTCAAACAACATCAGTCTTTCTCTGGAGGCAGAAAATATGCTTCATCATTAGTTCTTTGGGATTGTCTTGGATCGTTGTGTTGCTGAGAATAGCTAAGTCATTCACAGTTCTTCATCGTACAATGTTGCTGTTACTGGGTACAATGTTCTCCTGGTTCTGTTCACTTCACTTTGCATCAGTTCATGTAAGTCTTTCCAGGTGAAAAAGATTCACTTGTAAGAGATCATCAGAAGCTCAGAATGGGAAGAGGTCATCTATGGAATCCAACCCATTCTCATTTTACAGGGGATGGGGGCAGAGGGAGGGAGGAGGACAGATATAACCTAGGCTTTTCAGGTCTCTCCAACTTTGAAATCTAGGTCTCTGGACTCAGTATCCTGCTATGAGCTAGTCTAAGACAGTTTCTGTTGGCTGGGACTGGTCTGACGGCCTCTCCTTCCCAGCGTGAGGCCCTGTCTGCCAACAGGATATTCTTAAGGCATAGGTCCGACCACATTACTCCCCTGCTCCAGAAGCAGAGCAGCCCCTTTATCTTAGAAATGCAAACCGTCTGACATTTAATGCCCTTCACAAACTGGTTCCAACCTCTTTTTTTCTAGGCTAATTATACATTACTCTCCCAATCACTCTACCCTCCAGTCAAACTGACCTCCAAATGGTTCTATTTACGCAACATTATATTTATAATAATTCATCCACTGCCTTAGCTCCTGCCCCCGGGCCTGTAATGCGCTTTCTCCTCACCTCTGTCCCTCCAAACCTCTAGTTCCCTTTAAGGCTCCACCTTCTACAAGAGCTCTCCCTAACTACTACTAATTGTTTCCTATTTATTTTGTATTTAATTATCTATGTACATATTTGTCATTATCCTTCCTTCTCCTTACCCCTATCCTGCAAGCTCTTGGAAGGCAGTGACCTATTCATTTTTGTCTTTTTGTCCATGGTGCCTGACCCAGTGCTTGGCACATAGTAAACACATAATAAATGCTTATTGAATTGAATCAAATTGGGATATGAGCAAAGGATTGTGGAGAGGATTATGATTCATCAGCCCAAAGTACAGACCCAGCCTTCTGTTGTTTTCTGTAAGTTCTCCCAAACTCCCCCCTACCCCGACTCCTTTGTGATATTTCATCATTCTCTTAAAAAAATATTGATGAAATATCTGATATTCCTGCTATTCAATTTCTCTAACTGGGGGGAGTCTGGTACCTGATACAAGATAATATGCTGGACCCTGACCCCAACAAGTGAAGAGGAAGGGGTTCTTTGCCTTAGAAGATCTATATCTCAGCGGAGAAAAACATCATGGAAGTATGTTAGGGTTGGTGTTGTTGTTGTTTTAGCCTGTAGCCCTGGCAGGATGAGTTTCTATGGGATTCAGTGTCCAAGGAAATGGAATAAGAGAATTCAGTCCTGAGTCATCTGAGGTCCGTTTCCCAACTGCCTTCCTTGGAGCAGGCCTCAGTTCTGGGTTTTAGTGAGATCCTGGCCTGACCTCAGCCCAAAAGGATTCCATTGCTGAAAATCACCATAGGGGAAGCTCTCCTGATGGCAAGGGCATCTTC